ACATCCATGCTCCCCCTAGCCCTGGACAATCACTGTTGCTTTATGTCTCTGTGAATTTGACTATTCGTGTAAGTGAAATCATACAATATTTGAATTTTGTGTGACTTTTTAAAATTTCATTAACTATAATATCCTCAAGTTTCATCTATGCTATAGCACATGAAAGGATTTCCTTCCTTTTTAAGGCTAATATCCCATTGTATGTATAGTCCACAGTTTGCTTTTCCATTCATCCTCTGATGGATATTTGGATTGTGTTCACCCCTTGGCTATTATGGATAATGCTGCTATGAACATGGATGCACAAATATCTCTCCAAGACCCTGCTTTCAATTTTCCAAATGTATACCTGAAAGTGGAATTGATGAATCACATGGTAATTTTATTTTCAATTTTTCAAGGAATATGGGAAAGATTTCACTAAAACTATTCCCTAGAAAATTTGGACTTTTCAGAGGTTTTTACAAATAACTAGATATTGCAGTAGATGTTTTTGGAATGTCAAATTTATTTGGAAGTTTGATTATAAAATGAGAGCAAAGTGGGCGAATGGCCCTGAAGCCCGGGCCTGATATCTTGCTCCAGGGTTAGCATTCCTTCAGTCTCAGAGCTCCCCCGCATCACTGACCACAAAGCTCTGTGCTGGCTGGCGGTGTTGGAATGAGAAGCTAGCTACTTTAAATTATATTTAATTGATTTTCAGTTCAGTTCAGTCGCTCAGTCGTGTCTGACTCTTTGCGACCCCATGAATCACAGCACGCCAGGCCTCCCTGTCCATCACCAACTCCCGGAATTTATTCAAACTCATGCCCATCGAGTCGGTGATGCCATCCAGCCATCTCATCCTCTGTCGTCCCCTTCTCCTCCTGCCCCCAATCCCTCCCAGCATCAGGGTCTTTTCCAATGAGTCAGCTCTTCGCATGAGGTGTCCAAAGTATTGGAGTTTCAGCTTCAGCATCAGTCCTTCCAATGAAAGATCTTGCTAAATAAAAGAACTTAGCTTTTCGATGCTTCTTCTTTAACATACCAGTAAAGACATGGACCCTCCACTTAGTAATGAAATGTAATATCCATCTCTTCTGCCTAAGCTTTGTACTGTTCTTCCTTCTTTGTGTATTTGGATCTATTTCCAGTAACATTTATATGTCAGTTTTCTAAGAAAATCTTCAGAGCTTAATATCACTTTTATTGTTTTATATATATACATATATTTACTGTGTTACTGTTTACTTTAAGATAAACTTGCCACACTCCTATATGGTTTGTGCTCTGACTACATTAAAGTCTATAATAGGTCAGTATCATCATTGCATTTGCTACATGTGTAATTGTGCATGACTTTGCATTCAGATTCCAGATCTGTGAACTATGTCCATGCTTCAAAGAAAAGAAACTTTTTCTTTTTTTGTCTTTGTGAATTATTGACTTTGGTGTTCTTTTTCCCGTTATACCTAATACAATGTAACATCAATGAACTTATCTACTTTTTAGCTTTGAACATATCTATTTCTATCTATTCTCTATACTGGAGAAGGAAATGGCAACCTGCTCCAGTATTCTTGCCTGGAGAACCCCATGGACAGAGGAGTCTGGAGGGCTACAGTACATGGGGTGACATGAGTCAGGACACAATTTAGTGACTAAACTACCACCATAATTCTCTAAAACTGTGATACAAATAACATAAATAAAATAACTCAAATCCTCATTTGTGCTCACCATCATTACTGCTTTGCAGATGTAGTTAAAGAGATATTGATTATAATTAACACCAATAGAATAGATTTATTGTGCTGATATTGCATTAGGATTAATGTAATTAACCCTAGAAAAATACGTAAACAAAAATCATGGAGGTCACAGTTGAGCTATCTGGGTCAACAACTATGGCATTGGCTATGTGAGACTATAGTTTATATTTCTATTGTTTTACCCAAGATACCAGGTGCATGATACTTAATATGTAAGTAACATGTAATTCATAAATAAGTACTGGTAGAATCAATCCTAACATTGATCATTTTCATGCATTTTACCCATGAGATATTTACACTTTGTGAATCATATAAAAATGGATTTCCCTGGTGGTTCAGATGGTAAAGAGTCTGCCTGCAATGCAGGAGACCTGGGTTCCATCCCTGGGTTGGGAAGATCCTCTGGATTAGGAAATGGCAACTCACTCCAGTACTCTTGCCTGGAAAATTCCATGGATGGAGGAGCCTGGTAGGCTCAATCCACAGATCGCAAAGAGTCAGACACGACTGAGCAACTTCACATCATATAAAATATTTAAAATTTTTGCTAAGTATAACTAGTGAATATGCTACAAATTTAGAGACCTTTTGTGTAAATGTTAAAGGAACAAAGTGAGTTTTATATACAGGGAAATATGCATTATCCTATTTCTTTTTAATCATTGGTGAAGTGTAACTTGTTTTCAGTATTGTCTATTTCATTTTCTTCATACTGTAATTAAATACCCAATCACTTTTAAATTAGCCTATTTTTTTTTTTTTTTTTTACCTCTGGTGGGACTTCTAATATGAAACAATGTGATTTTTTTCTAGTAATTGACTTTCTATGGCAGGCAGCTTCTTTCTTCGTTGTGTTCTCACTCCCTTTCCTCTTCTGATATAAACTTTTCCTCCATTTCCAAAATGATTCATGAGTTGCAAGCAGTTCATTCTGTGTCCTCAAGTGGGGAAAGATAGGTTGGCCTGCTGAGACCTTTGGTTATTTTCCCTACAGTTTTGTTATTGCTCAGTTTCACTTATTCTTTTAACAAGCTATATACCTTGAGAGTTTCCAGTATGATTTTTATATGTCCCCTTGCTAAAGAACAGCCTTTGACCATCTGGAAGTGTCCTCATATTTATAGAGAATTCTGATTTTGAAGAGAGTGTGTTGAAGACTGAGAGAAGAAGATATGTCATGCCTGGTCAGATAGCCTTGTCACCTCTGGTGACTAATTCACTTCTTGCGCAACTGCTAGCTCTCCCTCACCTTCCTATTTAATAGCTACTGTCCCAAAAGTATACTTTAAAAGTGAGACATTTTTAATGTTAAATATTTTCCAATTCTTTCCCATAATTCCACACACAAAGAGGTACACTTTTAGGGAAAAATCTGTAATTATGAATCCTAGTGAGCGCCTACTGATAGTATAATTTAAAATCACAACTTTCACTCACCCCACCCCCACTTTTCATGCTTCCTATCTTCTTTCACTTTGTGTTTTTCTATAAAATATATTACTTTCTAATACTTTATGATTATGATTTACCTTGTTTATTGTTCCTTTGCTCTCTACCCACCAGGATAATTTGCAGGAGAGCAAGGCTCTGTTACTTTGACAAATGATGCTCTCTAAGCAGTGAGAAGTGTATCACACACACTATGTGTACTGAGTTAGAAGAGTGCCCAGCGCAGAGCCAGGCGTTGCGCATTTAATGGGGAAATGAATGATCCTGATTTATGATTGGGAAAAGGGAAGCAGCAAATGCAGTACTTAGTTCTAACCAAATCTGCTTCAAAATATGTTTTTTTCTGTTTGTCCTCATGCTGCCGAATGTGAAGACAATCGTGTATATCATGTATATCATTGACATGCATTAACTATCACTGTTAATGTGTTGAAAAATCGGGAAATTACTTCTTCAACCAACTCTACCACCAGTTTCATGCATACAGATTGTAGTTCATGGAATGAACGTGTTCCCTGATGTTTGTTTTGTGATAGGAGAATTCCATAAATTAGTGAAATGTATGTTGAATGATGGTTGAAAAGATGTGATACTTTTCATGGTTTATTAATCATAGATGACTGTGCTTTCCAGCTTCAAATACTCAATAAGTAGTTGGTGCTACTAAGATTTTAGGGTTAGTCATTTTCTATGAAAAATGTAGAAGCAAGAATTTATTTAGAAATTGTCTTATAATTTATTAAACAATTTGTAGACTTTTTTAGTAGTTTAGGGCTAAAACAAAGGTTCACAAACGTCACTCCTTTATAAAGGCTAATGCTGCTCTGCTGGTGGTGCTGCTGTTTAGTCACTAAGTTGTGTCTGACTCTTTGCGACCCCGTGGTCTGCAGTCCACCAGGCTCTGTACATGGTACTTCCCAGGTGAGAATACTGGAGTGGGTTGCCATTTCCTTCTCCAGGGGATCTTCCCTACCTATTAACTGAACCTGCATCTTCTGCTTTGGCAGGCAGATTCTTTAACACTGAGCCACCTGGGAAGCTCCTTATAGGCCAATAGTCTGAGCTAATATTTGCATTTAGTTGTTTAGGAAAGAGATTATCCAGGATGCACAGCCTGCAAGGAAAGGTTTGGGGTAAAAGGGCTCATTACCAAGCCCTGTGACTCTGAGAGGGCAGCTAGTGCTAGTCCCATACTGGAGTCATCTCGCTCACAGCTATGCTAACTATGCATAGAGGATTTCATAGACTAAGAAGAATTGTAATCTCATATTATCAGATGTTCCTTCAGAAAGATACATATAACCTGAAACTATGCAACATTTGTCAATAAAATAAAATTCAGCCTATTGATAAAATAATGGTTTTGTTGATCAGCTATGAGCAATTATTATAATTATTGCTTGTTTCAGAACAAATTATGCATTGCTTATAGGATATCTAGCCCAGCCTTCTAAAGATAATTTTAAATCTGGAATTTTTAAAATTCTGTTTTCCAAAGAGTTACTACTTGTATTTTTATTCCATTTTAAAAGGCAGCTAACTTCTATGATCCTAATGGATTTGGATGCACTTTTTCATAGATATTTTCTCTCTCTGTCTTTACCAGATTAATACACCCTTTATTCATGGACAGTGTGATATTACCATGCACCATTCATCAGAAATTCTCTCTTTTGTATAAATAATTTTTTATATGGCCATGTTAGTTAGTACCATGGCACTGAGAATACATAATGCTCTTTTATAGAAATTGTTTTGTCTATTAATGAGATAGATCACATATTTTTACTATTACAGATTGAAAGACATGACAATTGTGCCTATGACTACCTAGAAGTTCGAGATGGAACCAATGAAAGTAGTCCTTTGATAGGACGTTTTTGTGGTTACGATAAGCCTGAAGATATCAGATCTACCTCCAATACCTTGTGGATGAAGTTTGTTTCTGATGGAACTGTGAACAAGGCAGGGTTTGCTGCCAATTTTTTTAAAGGTAATTTGGAATCATTTAAAATGTAAGCTTCTCTTTGTCAAGGATAAATGTAGTATTATGTAGTAAATGTATTTAGCTTTGAGGCAGGGAAGAAATAGAGTAATGTAATATTGAAGTATGCAGTCTTCATAAAGATATCAAAATTTTAATGGTTTTTGATGGAGAAGTTTACTGGTTAAAAAAAAAAGAAAGAAAACTAAAATCTGGAGATTTGTAGCACAGGATAGGAAATCCATTAAATTTTCTATTGTCTGTTTTTTAGGAAACAGTCAAAATAGCAAAATCCAGAAAGTGATATTCAGATAAGAGGAAATATTTGCAATGTAATCAGCAAAGAGTTTATAACCAGAAGAGGATTACTGACATATATTTCATCAATTTATTTCCAGGTGGCAGCACTTTACGCTATCCTTTAGAGAGTAGCATTCTACCACATTACAGATAATGTATGGCCTCCTTAGTAGAATATTCTGATCCCTTAAAAGACAAAGAATTATTACTGATTATCTTTAATTTTTTTGAATTTTATAATCATATTTTATTTTAATGTCCCAAGCATGATGTATATTTGTAGGGTAAAAAGAAAGCTGTTTCAGTGTAAATAATGGCATCAGATTTGCTTTTTGAAAATTCAGAGACATTTAGGTTAACTGTGTTATTGTAGAATAAAATTCTTTTAATAGAGAAAATAAATTTCCTCTGTGATACATTTTAAAGAATAATTGATGAATCCAGTTGTGTATGTCAAAGTGTGAAGAATATCTAGACATTTTTTGTTATTCAAAGAGCAAATTCATTTCCCCTGAGTATTATTCACTATTTGAGTTGAAAGGCAGAGAACCTTGGCACTTAAGGGTATACGTATTCAAAGTATTCATTAAAATATTAATTTACATATTTTAAATCTTCTCCACATGTTATATTTTATAGTATAAGAAACATATTATAAGTCTATGTGATATAAAGTATTATATAAAATACTATGTGATGTTTGTATTTGGTTATCAAAATGGACAGTATTGGATGACATGCAGTTTCTCCAGAGAATATTTTTTACTGTTTTCTGAGTAGGTTATTCCTAAAGAGTGAGATTATGGAGTACCTTGTCATACATGTTTTTTTAGAATAATATATATGTTTCACATGTCCATTTTGTATATATTTTTTATGTTACCACATATAATTAAAATAATGTTTATAAAATATGGAATTATGTATTTTCTGAATCAAAATCTCTATATAAAAAATACTGAATGTTTTAAATTTAAAGAGGTCTAGAAATTTTCTTAGTTTTTTTCCTTTTTAATTTTTTGCCACCATAATTTATTTATTAATAATGTTATTTCTTTAAAAGCATTTTTCAGGCTACCTAGCAAACTATACTATGAAATGAACAGATGAATTCATGTTCTTTCAGTAATCTCTACGTCTTAGTAATCTCCTTTAACTTTAAATTCAGAAAAAAACACATGCCATGTCTGAGGTAAGGTGATCATCAGTTGGCCCAGTCCTTCTGATTCTCACACAATTTTTAGATTGCAGTGACATGGATTCTTATATGTCATCTATCAAGGGTTTGCAAATTTTTACTGTTATTTTGTTGAAGAGATCAATTGTTTGTTTCATTCAAAACTACTAAACATCACATTTTCAAAAAATTTTGCACATTAGTATATAAAAACAAAATAGTTGTCTAATTGTTGCCACTTTTGTAGAGGAAGATGAGTGTGCCAAGCCTGACCGTGGCGGCTGTGAGCAGCACTGCCTGAACACGCTGGGCAGCTACCAGTGCTCCTGTGAGCCCGGCTATGAGCTGGGACCCGACAGAAGGACCTGCGAAGGTGGGGCTGGATTTGCACATGGCGTTCCCTGCCTGAAACCCTACCCATGCCTTCCTTTCATGAAATCTCATTGTCTTTCTCTCTTTCTGCCTCCCTCTTAAGCAAGAATAAAATAGACACAGTTACAAAGAAAATAAAATATCTTTAAAACAGAGGATATTGCATACAAGATAAAAAGAAAGTTATGTGGTTATTTCTATGTGACTCCTAACATAAATATTTTTACACTTTAGAAATTTACCAATATGGTAAACCTGAAAGTACAGGTAGCTTTAAAAATATATGTATAAATATGATAATATTAGTTAACGTACATACACAGATATACATATATAAACATATACACACAAAGGCAATTAAAGAAACCAATTACTTTAGCTAACTCTTGACTCCTTAGGAATTAATTAGGAACTGTGTATAATACATTCCTTTCACTGATGGTAGTGGTTTAGTCGCTATGTCATGTCTGACTCTTGCAATCCCATGGACTGTAGCCTGCCAGGCTCCTCTGCCCATGGGATTCTCCAAGTAAGAACACTGGATTGGGTTGCCATTTCCTTCTTCAGGGGATCTTCCCAACCCAGGAATCGAAACCAGGTCTCCTTCATTGCAGGCAGTTTCTTTACCGACGGAGCTATGAGGGAAGTCCTTCCTTTCACTTAACTTGCTTTCAAATACTCTAATTTTCCTAATCTCACTATCAGTAAGAATGAGAGGTAGCATAAATAGTTGTTGTTGTTCAGTTGCTCAGTCATGCCAGACTCCTTACAACCCCACAAACTGCAACACACCAGGCTTCCCTGTCCTTCACTGTCTCCTGTTTGAGTTTGCTCAAACTCCTGTCCATTGAGTCAGTGATGCCCTCCAACCACCTCATCTTCCGTCATCCCCTTCTCCTCTTGCCCCCAATCTTTCCCAGCATCAGGGTCTTTTCCAATGAGTCAGCTCTTTGCATCAGGTGGCCAAAGTATTGGAACTTTAGCTTCAGCATCAGTCCTTCCAATGAATATTCAGGGTTGATTTCCTTTATAATTGACTGGCTTGATCTTCTTGTAGTACCTCTTTTAAATAGATCACCCAAAAGGGAAAGAAAGCCAGTTGTTAAATGGAGTTTTGGGAATAACAAATATGCTCTATTTACTATAGTTTACCTTGCCTGCTAGCTCAACTAACTCTTCCTAAGAGTTTCTTGTCTTGGAAAAAAAAAAACGAAAGAGTTTGGGGAAATAAGCAATTGATTTTGGTCTTACTACAATAGGCTGTATTGTTCTTTGCATGTATCTTCTTATGAATTCTTACAGCAATCATATGGTATAGATATTATTATATCCATTTAAAAGATAAGAAAACTGACACCCAGTTTTCTTTATATTGCTAGGCCAACTTTAAAAGGACCTAAAATGCCATCACTTTCTTGTAGTTCAGCCACCAGTTTCTTGGCTCCAAACCGGCAAAATAACACTTATAAATAGAAATAGATGATTCAAATTGTTGTACTAAAGACTGCAGTTTTCTAGATTTTGAAAAATTCAGAAGATGGTTGAAATTTAGTGCTGAGATGTTTGGTTATTAGTGGAAAGCTGCTAAGAAGGGGATAGATTTATTAGGAGAAACTTTCCTTTTTCTTTCTTTCCAGCGGCTTGTGGTGGACTTCTCACGAAGCTGAATGGCACCATAACCACTCCAGGATGGCCCAAGGAGTACCCTCCCAACAAACACTGTATATGGCAAGTGGTCGCACCAACACAGTACAAAATTTCTATGAAGTTTGAGTTTTTTGAATTGGAGGGCAATGAAGTAAGTGAATAATAAATATGTCTTTATAAAGTGTTTAGGAATCCCCAGTGGTGATCTGGAAACTAAAAAAGAAAGGAGAAAGAAGGAAAGGAAGGAGGGAAGGAGGGAAGCAGGGAGGGCAGGAAAGAGGGAGGGAGGAAGAAAAGAAACAAGTATGATAGTATAGATATCTAGTCTTTTTTTGCTCTATTTCTCATTTCTGCAACTGCTTATAATTCCTGTTGGCACTGGATGATTTAGACTGTCTCTAGGAGATTGAATATTAATCCCCAGCATTTTCCTAATTTTTTAAAGTACTATTAAAACATTGTGGTCATGACACATAGACTTTTCTAGAAAAAACAAACCAAAATTCGCTTGTTGAATCACAACAAAAGTTCCTTTTTGAAAGAACCTGGTATATTTCACCAGTGGAAATGGGTATATTTTCACTATATAACTAGTTTTGCATTATGAATATGCTTACGATTCACAAAGATGAATTTTTAACCTCAATAAAAGATGCATCCGGTTGACCCTATCTTTCCTTTCTTTACCTTTATAGTCTAACATAGTAAAAGTCCAGTTTTCTGTTAGGTGATCACTTTTAAACAAGTGAAATCATTTGCTTTAAAATTCCTATGTGCTAGTACACAAGCACCAAATTCAAATAGAATGTTAGCCCTAGAAATGACAGCTTTTAGAACTGTGTCTTGTATGACAGGTCAATATTGTTTTAAGTCCAGAGAAAATGTAACAAAAGTTTGTTTCATTTGAGCTTTTGTACTTAGTTTCCTTTTCTCTTCCTAACTTCCACATCTTTTATCCCAGAAACTTTTTATTTATTTTAAAATGAAAAAGTTTATTTTAAAATGAAAAAGTAAAAGTAAAGTTGCTCAGTTGTGCTCAACTCTTTGCCACCCCATGAACTATTCAGCCTGTGGAATTCTTCAGGTTAGAATACTGGAGTGGATAGCTGTTTCCTTTCTCCAGACGACCTTCCCAATCCAGGGATCAAACCCAGGTCTCCCACATCACAGGCAGATTCTTTACCAGTTGAGCTACCAGGGAAGCGTAAGAATACTGGCATGGATAGCCTATCCCTTCTCCAGAGGATCTTCCCAACCCAGGAATTGAACCAGGGTCTCCTGAATTGCAGCTAAGCTACCAGGGAACCCCAATTTAAAATGAATTAAGATTCAAAAGTATGATAAAATTCACTCATAAAATGTGTTTTGTCTTTGATGTATATTTGTTGAACAATTGCAAATAAGTGGAGAACAGAAATATAATGTATCTGTGGTGGTTTAGTCGTTCAGTTGTGTCCGACTCTTTGTGACCCCGTGGACTGTAGGCCACGAGGTTCCTCTGTCCTTGGGATTTCCCAGGCAAGAATACTGAAATGCTTTGTCATTTCCTTCTCCAGGGGATCCTCCCCGCCCCCAGAGACTGAACCTGGGTCTGCCACATTGCAGGCAGATTCCTTACTAACTGAGCCACCAGTACTCCTGGGTAATATTGAAAGGTTATTGCTGAACAATAAGACGCGGGATTCTTGGCCTCCGGAGGAGAAGAATTCAATCCGGGGCCAGAGATGAGGCTGGATCGCTCAGAGCTTTTGTGTACTAAAGTTTTATTAAAGTATAAAGGAGATAGAGAAAGCTTCTGACATAGGCATCAGAAGGGGGCAGAAAGAGTACCGCCCTACCTGCTAGTCTTCAGCTAGATGTTATATAGTCACTAGCAGTCTTAATGAAAAGAAAGGAATGTCTTAAAACTCAGAATGGCACCAGGCCCCTCATCCATAAGATGCAATTTGGGATAATCTTGGCACCAGATGATTCATCCCAGGCCATAAAACGATTGACTTGAATCTTGGAAGATTATCATACAAATAGTTTCCTTTACATAGATTAGGGGAACAATATTTGAGTATAACAGACTGGTTTGTCAAGTAGGTTCTGAGCCATTTGGCTGAACCAACTTGAAGACACAGTCTGGGGTACATTAACATAGCTTAAGACAAACATTTCCATAAGAAAAAATGTACTTGTTAACTCAAGGTTTGAGAATAGTTAGCTTCAGGTGAAACCAGGTGTCATGGCAACACAGCATTTTAAGAAAAACCTCCTTTTAAATTTGTATAGAGAAGGAAAAAAAAATATCGCTGTTTCCTCCTGCTCCTTATGAGAGATAAAAATGTCTGGCACTTGCAGCCTATTTCCTCCATTTGGAGACCCCTGGCCTTCCTGACTGTTACCCTCTCAATATTATTGGTGATGTTTGTGGGTTTTATGCCATAATTTTGTATTATATGTGTATCTTTGCTTCTTCTTTGCCCCTCCCACTTTTCCTACTTTTTAAATCATTTAAAAAAATTTTTATTTGTAGTAGTCAAGGCATTTGTGTGCATTTTTAGTCTCTTATTAATGGCTTTCAGGTGGGACTTCCCAAGAGGCTCAGTGGTAAAGACTTAACCTGACAATGCAGGAGACACAGGTCTGATCCCTGAGTCAGGAAGATTCCCTGAAGAAGGAAATGGCAACCCACTCCAGTACTCTTGCCTGAGAAATCTCATGGACAGAGGAGCTTGGAGTGGCTATAGTCCATGGTGTCGCAAAAAGAGTTGGACATGACTTCACAAATAAACAAACAACAGCTGGCTTTGAGGTGAAAAGAAATGTAGACTTTTGTGTTTCCTTTAAGGAAATTAAAGTCTGAAATGCAGTGAACTGATATTTCAGAGAATTGTACAATTTTCGACCTTTGTGGACCTTTTGAGTTCTTCTTCACAACATGTATAAGTTTTATGATGGAAAAATGACTGCAATTTATTTTTCTCACATACTTTATCCACATGAAACATCATTTTTCTTTAATAATTGTCTGAAATTTAGGGAAATATTAAAATTAAGAAAGCATTTTTACAGTAATCTTAGAAAAACTTTCACAAGAACAGCACTGTTTTGAAAATGGGACTCTTCCTACCAGTTCTGTGATGTAATATGAGCTTAGTACTGAATGACTTCTACTTTCTGAGTTTCCCTGAAGCTGTTCATTATGGCAGAAATGGCATTTTGATTCACTAGTTGGTAGAAGTTCCAAAGGATAGAAGTTTATGTTTAGGAGGAAGATAGGTAGATGATTTTAAATAAATGGTGCATTGTGGTTGAAGACATTTTTCTCATGGTAGCAGTCTTTATTCATGGAAGGAGGCTTTACAGACTCCAACATATCCTGGAAATCTTCAACTTATGATGAGGTCACTATGTGGAATGCTGTTAAAAAAATTCTGTGCATTTTCATAGTTCAAATTCTTGGTTGTTTAAAATAAAGGCATGAGCAAAATCTTGATTTGTAGGATACTGGGTTATGTTATCACTTCATTGTTTCATTCATTATATTGATGTCCAAAACAAAAGTCAATAGGAAACAACTTTAGCCTCAGTAACATTATTCTATTTTTGTATCAGAGCTCTCTCTAAATACAACTTGCAGTGGTAGCAAAGTAGATAGAACACTTATTTCACTTTTCCTAGCAAGACTTTGCTTATTCATTACTTAATTAATATCAGTAATTTAGGTTAACCTAAACCAGTAATTTAGGTTGCATATTACAAGGCACATATAATGTGGAGAGTTCAGATCATATGTATTGTTAAACAAATACTCATCACTCATCTCAGTTTTCCTTAAGTCTGCATTTTTGAACCTGTTAATCCAGTTTGACTACCAAAGGAGTGAAAAGGGAAAAACACAATAAATTTTTTAAAAATAGCTGTCAATTATCTGATGCTTTCAAATTTGGTGATTACAGTAACCCTGTTTATTTCTAGGTATGCAAGTATGATTATGTGGAGATTTGGAGTGGTCTCTCTTCTGAGTCTAAACTGCATGGCAAATATTGTGGTGCTGAAGTGCCTGAAGTGATCACATCCCAATTCAACAATATGAGAATAGAATTCAAATCTGACAATACAGTATCCAAGAAGGGCTTCAAAGCACATTTCTTCTCAGGTATCAGTATTCTCATGTTGCATGTGTATTACAGACTTTCAAGGTGGATTGGCTTAAATTGTATGGTATCCATTCTTCATAGCTTTCTATAAATGAGCTTGGAGGTACACTGAATCCATGAACATTTATCCCAGTTTAATAATTTTTTACTTAAAGTTAAGATATTAATAATAATGGCCCTATGAAATGCAATGCTCAACTACTTAGATCTTCAGTTCAGTTCAGTTGCTCAATCATGTCTGACTCTTTGTGACCCCATGAACTGCAGGACACCAGGCCTCCCCATCCATCACCAACTCTCGGAGTCCACCCAAACCCATGTCCATTGAGTCGGTGATGCCATCCAACCATCTCATCGTCTGTCGTCCCCTTCTCCTTCTGCCCTCTATCTTTCCCAGCATCAGGGTCCTTTCCAATGAGTCAGCTCTTCTCATCAGGTGGCCATCAAGTATTGGAGTTTCAGTTTCAGCATCAGTCCTTCCAATGAACACCCAGGACTGATTTCCTTTAGGATGGACTGGTTGGATCTCCTTGCAGTCCAAGGGACTTTCAAGAGTCTTCTCCAACACCACAGTTCAAAAGCATCAATTCTTCACAGTCAGCTTTCTTTATAGTCCAACTCTCACATCCATACATGACCACTGGAAAAACCATACCCTTGACTAGATGGACCTTTATTGAAAAGTAATGTCTCTCCTTTTTAATATGCTGTCTAGGTTAGTCATAACTTTTCTTCCAAGGAGTAAGCAGCTTTTAATTTCATGGCTGCAGTCACCATCTGCAGTGATTTTGGAGCCCAACAAAATAAAGTCAGACACTGTTTCCCCATCTATCTGCCATGAAGTGACAGGACCAGATGCTGTGATCTTAGTTTTCTGAATGTTGAACTTTAAGCCAACTTTTTCACTCTCTTCTTTCACTTTCATCAAGAGGCTCTTTAGTTTTTCTTCACTTTCTGCCATAAGGGTGGTGTCATCTGCATATCTGAGGTTATTGATATTTCTCCCGGCAATCTTGATTCCAGCTTTTGCTTCCTCCAGCCCAGCGTTTCTCATGATGTACTCTGCATATAAGTTAAATAAGCAGGGTGACAATATACAGCCTTGACGTACTCCTTTTCCTATTTGGAACCAGTGTGTTGTTCCATGTCCAGTTCTAACTGTTGCTTCCTGACCTGCATACAGGTTTCTCAAGAGGCAGGTCAAGTGGTCTGGTATTCCCATCTTTTTCAAAATTTTCCACAGTTTATTGTGATCCACACAGTCAAAGACTTTGGCATAGTCAATAAAGCAGAAATAGATGTTTTTCTGGAACTCTCTTACTTTTTCGATGATCCAGCAGATGTTGGTGATTTGATCTCTGGTTCCTCTGCCTTTTCTAAAACCAGCTTGAACATCTGGAAGTTCACGGTTCACGTATTCCTGAAGCCTGGCTTGGAGAATTTTGAGCATTACTTTGCTAGCGTGTAAGATGAGTGCAATTGTGTGATAGTTTGAGCATTCTTTGTCATTGCCTTTCTTTGGGATTAGAATGAAAGCTGACCTTTTCCAGTCCTGTGGCCACTGCTGAGTTTTCCAAATTTGCTGACTTAGATCTTATATACATTATAATCAGATATTTCAAACACTAGTAAAAACAACACAAAATTATGGCAATATTTTCATACAATGACTTTGGAAGTGGATAAGGTTAATGATCTGGAGAAGGAAATGGCAACCCACTCCAGTATTCTTGCCTGGAGAATCCCATGGACAGAGGAGCCTGGTGGGTTACAGTACATGGGGTCTCAAAGAGTTGGACATAACTCAGTGGCTTACACTTAACCAATTCACATTAAAAATTCCCTCTTAAAGAGCTGAAATTTGATTAAAAGTCCCTATATTTTAAGGAAATAAATAAACATCAGTGAAATTCCCTAAATTGCCCAATTTCAAAATTATTCCTCTTAAAAACATTATTTTGAAACTTGTGAAACTTTAAATCCATCTATTGATTAGTTAATAAATATTAATACAAATTAATAATATTAATGTGTGTTTTTAATTGAGTTAAATTTTCTAATTTTCATTTTTATAGTTAGTTTGCAACATGGTATGGGCAATTGAATAAATATTTGCTGCATTGTGTATGTTAATCCAGAAATATTTTATGGAGACTTAATCTTAAGTGGTTCTGTTTATAACCAGTTCTCTAAAAAGTTCAGAAGTGGTTATGATTTATGAAAACATAATAAGAAGTATGTTTAGCTTAGCTATTTTTCCACATAACTTTCCCCAGAAATTTTATCAAGAAATTCAATTTAAAAAGAAACAGTATTTATTATAAGTGAACTCATATTATAAGGAAAGCTATTTAAAAATATGTTCTAGCTTTCTTGCAACTAAGTGATTCATCAAGAAAGAAAAAACACAAGGAAATATACTTAGATTTTTAATGAATAAAATGAAATTAAACTATAGCATTATTTTTAAAATATAATGATTATTTAATGAAGTAATCATGTTGAAATTTTACTAATGTCTGTACATACCTTTGATTTTCAAAAAGCACTTTATAGACCTAAGAAATGGAATTAGAAGAATAACTCTAAGAACTTATTAGCAAAATAATTAATACAGATTTCTATCACTTTCATGTTCAGCAATGTAAGAAATCATTGCATAAATTCCTAATGTCTTAAAATAGCCATGCTATAGTTTGAAAATTTAGAAGTTATTGTTTTATACAGCAGAATATTCATTAGCTCCTCTACAATAATTACTGTTATATACTTCTGATATAAGGGTGTGTTATAAAGCAATATAATGAAATAGTACAAGTAAATAAGAAAATTATGACTATAAAATAAGGTTATTTGAACATGGTATTGAATTATGTATCTATTAAATTTTCATGTAATTAGGTATATGAGACAAAAATGTCTAATATAAATATTTTCTAGAAGATAGCTGGTTTAATAATATATTACTGTTGTTTTCTATGAATGAATGAGGTTTGTTTTTAAATGAACAATAATTACTTTATATGAAGTAAAGCCTAAGTTAATTTTATATGATATTGTATTTGAATACAAGTATGCAAATCTGCATAGGTGTACTTGTTATAGTTTACTTACTTTAAGTGATTAAGCAAAATTAACTGTATTCTACTAATAACACAATTATTTCTCCTTACATAGGTTAAACTTAAAGGAAATGTTAGTAGGATTTTATGCATGTAAAAATAACATTTGGGAAACTTAGTTTTAATTTAATCGCAGTGTTCATTATTTGGAAATAATATAACAAATATCTTCAGGCAATGAGAGATGTACATAGACCTTCCACCTTCTTTAGGCAACCCTGTAATGGTAAAATGATGCAATGATGACTTAACGGATAAGCTCATTAAAGCCCAGATTTCTTGACTCTGAGTTCATTTATGTCTGTAACAAATATAGGAGTCAGATAAAATGATTTGTGTGATTTTTCTTCCTCTATATTCAAGTGATTTCAACTGCTCTTATCCACCTTTCAATGTTTATAGATATTTCTTTACACTGTTTCTCCTACACACCATTTTTTTTTCTCATGGGAAAGTCATAGATATTTATAGAATAAATTCAACCTGATATTATCCTAACAAAACTTTAAATATTAGTGTGATTAATTTCAAGTAGTAACACAATTAAAGCTCTTTTATGATTCTGAATCTAGTTCCAAGTTTCATGATTAATGATATTTAAATATTTGCATATTTTAGAAAGAGCAAATTGTCTGAGTTGTTGCTCTCAATAGAGCTTATCAGAACTCATTTGAAGGTGATTATTTTTTCAACAGTTTTGTGTTGAAAACTGTGTGCCTTGTATGCATGCACACATGCATGAGATATATTGTGTATGTGTGTATGCATGAGTGTGTAAGATGTTTGTTTTATATCTGAGCATTTATTGTAAGTGTGTCTTCTCATATATTGTTCTGTTCTGGTGCGTGGACCCTTTATTTCTTTTTTCTACAGACATGGAAGCTTTCTGCAAAGAGAAAATTTTTTATTTTTGATTCTTGCAAGAACTTGATACAGGTTGCCATTTCAGTTCCATCCAGTATGTATTATTCATAGACTGATAGTCTCTGATAGTCTCAGAGATACTCTGCAGGCCTCTGATGGGAAAATGCCATGTGCTTTTTCCCTAATAATGGACCTTTCCTTCATCTAACATGAAGGAATGGAAATCAGATATGTCCATTCCAAAGAAGGAGGCTAATTGCCCTCTGAAAAATTAAATGTTTTGATTTCTACTCAATAAGACATTTATTTCTCTTTAATAAAAACAGTTCTTAAAATCCCATGCTGACAGTATGAAAATGCTAGAAAATTTCAAATGAATCATTGACAGAATGATCAATTATTGAATTCATTACGCAGACAGTCTGAGAAATTTTTAAAACTCCACATCCTCCTTCCTTTTCTTTTCCTTTGGATTTTCATTGTTCAAAATATTTGTAGTTTGTGTCCTAAGAAGATAAAAAGGAAAGAAAATGAAAACAGAATTATATTTGCTACTGTTTTTCCCTCAAATTTGATGATTTTGTGTAACTCATCTTTAATGACATTAAGTTAAATAAATAACTTTCTTTGCCTGCATGATGTAAAAAGTCTGGATAATTTCAAGTATTCCAATGTTTACTGAAATTTTCTCTTTTCATATTGACTATTTGGCATGTGTGGGCAGTTTTATACACTGCTTTGCTGGGCATTATGACTTTTATATGCTGCTTTTTTTGCCCAGTTTTGAATTTTAATTTAGTTTAGATCAGCTTACACATATATTCTAGCAATATATTTGATAACTCTTAATTTCATGTGACATTGATTATATTAAGCAATGTTTGATGTAGGGAAGAAGAAAACATTAATTAATTGGGAAACTGAAAAATAATAAAATACTTAGTATGATATATAAAGTCTTCTTCTCCCTCTTGTTCCTCATTTTCTTATTCCTCCTCTAAAAATTATTTTTAAATTATTATTATTTTTCCAGCACAACAGAAATATGAAAAACTGGCTACAAAAACTATTATTCAAATGTGATTTGTTTCACTTTCAACTTTATTTCTCTGTACTTAGCATTACCACAAATCAGATTTTGTTCTATCAAATCTAAAGAAAATAATTCTCCTTAGAAATATCATGATATTTCTACTACAATGAACTTTAAATGTTAGAAATATTTTATGTTTTGGAATTATTTTCATTATAAAATGACTATGAGTTGAAAAATTTAGCATATTAACCTATGTTCTTTTTTAACATTTTTTCTCTCTCATTCATGGCAGTCTAACAGATCCAAATGAAGGGATGACTCAGGTGGTCCCTGCTCTGATAGATTTGTCACTGAGCAACCTGTTTACCAGTCAATTGCAAATGTAAACTAATTTCTTAAAAGTAAAATACTTACAATTGTTAGATTTCCAACAACTCTCAAAAATCTGGTTGACCTAGAGTACAACCATAGTTCACTATATCAGATTTTAAGATTATCAAACAATCATTAGATATATATTTTATAAGAAATATTTATCTATTTCAGAGTAATTCTAGCACCAGAAAATTTTTAATTGACTCTTTCCATTTACAGTGATGCAGTGTATTTGGCATCAACTCATAAAGAAATATTTTTCCAAAGTATCTTAAGTAAACAGCCCCTGGAAAGGTATATTAAAATAAGAAATGTAAATCATCTGCTGATTGATTGTCTGAATTAGGAAATATGGTAGCTGAGAACATGGTAGTAGGGAGTCTAGTCCACCACTCTTCCTTTCTGCATGGGTCATTCGCAAATTATCACCTGTAGTTTTCACAGTTAAGGTAATAGTACTTCCAAATTATGAACTTCTTGAAAATTAATCTTGCAAGGCTACTTTCTATTAATTTCTGATTTCTTATTCACTTTAATATTTGATGCTGCTTTAGAGATAAATTTTCTTTTTTCTATGTTTTTTTTTCTTATTTGCTTAGCTTCAATATTAACTATTAAAAGTATTATGGAAGTCTTAAGGACAAATAGAAGACACATAAATTGCAGATATATTGATCCTGATATGTTCTTAAAAATTTCAGGACTGCCTGTGTGTATATTCTGATATTGCCAATGCATGAATATATCCCAGGAGCATGCATGTGCTGTCGTGTTATCAGTCACCAAACTGGGAAAAAATAAACATATTCACAAATATTAGTATCAGATCCTTGGATAAAATGCCTTTCCTACACCCATCTCCATAGGGGGAAAACTGATTTGATTAAAACAAGCAAAAATAGCATTTGCTATTTGTGTGCCACCATGAGCTCACAAACCCTCACTAGAAATATCAGTTGACAGTGTAACTTTTGAATTCAGCCTAATCTATGATGTGACTGTCATATGTCCTTTTTGTTCTCTGTGCTATGGGAGTGGGGAAGGTCTGAGTGAAGAACCATCATATGTATATGTCAAGAGCAGAGGCCAGTTTTGACTTTAATGGACAAGCCATTCATGGAATGACTGCTAAGCAATGTAATATGGTGGCTGATGCCTCTCACTGAATTGACTGCCTGCTAATAGAGTTGGGATTTTTTTCCCTGTAGTAAATTTGTTGGTTATTTCTTAGAACTCATCTTTCCTATCCTAACCTTTACTTCGAGCACACTAAAAGCTCTTTTATGGAATTACTTATTAATTAACTGGTTTGCTTGAGTAGATTAATTTAAAATATATTAATTGTTTCTTCTTCAGGATAATCTAATGATGCCTTTTTCTGTCTTGAAATCTTATAAAATATCCAGATTTATTAATGTTAAGCATAACTGCAAAGTTAATGAAAAAAAATCAGCTACAGTAGTTACAATGAGTGGTTTTTAAAAATGATTGCACACAAATCTTGGAACCTTGTTTAGCCTCTGTCTATATGCCATAGTGAAGGATTTCCCTCCATTTATATGCCCCTATTTGCATTTATTCAAATTATTCACAATTTTTAATTGATTTTAAAAATTGACAATAAATTTTTAAGATTATTTGGAAAAATATTCTTTTTTTTCATTTATTTTTATTAGTTGAAGGCTAATTACTTTACAATATTGTAGTGGTTTTTGTCATACATTGACATGAATTAGCCATGGATTTACATGTATCCCCATCCCTGGAAAAATATTATTTTATTTCCTCTGCCCTACTAAGAACTTCTCCAATAGAGGAATGAAAGAGGCCTACATGTTGTAATCCAATGTAAGTGATCTCGGAAATTCAATTCATGGCACAAGGCTCCAAGCTAAACAAGGACTAGGTAGAATTAAGTCACTATAATTTTGTTTGTTTTGCTTTATTTTGGGGACAGGGAGAGCTGTGACTTAGTTTACCCTTTGCCAATATTAACTACAACTAAATGACTCTCCTTTGATATCCTTCATTTTTAAAGTTACTTACTAATCTATGGGGTTATCTCTTTGCTAGACAAAGATGAGTGTTCTAAGGATAATGGCGGGTGTCAACATGAGTGTGTCAACACAATGGGAAGCTACCTGTGTCAGTGCCGAAATGGATTTGTGCTGCATGAAAATAAGCATGATTGCAAGGAAGGTATGAAAGAAAGGTCATTTTTTTCTGATGATATCTAGAACTTCATGCAGTTTGGGTAAAGCACTGCTTCCAGGTAGAGTTAATCATATCAGTGAGTAGTAATTGTTAACTGTTCAAATGTCAAAAATAAAAATACACCCAGTGTTCAAAGATCCAAATCACACTATTGGAAACTTTGTATTACCTCAAGGTTCTGCACATCATGCATAGGTGTCATTAGAATAACTGTATAACAGATGCAGGGGCTGCCGTGATGCTGTCTGGCAACCAGGAAAGCACTGCATTATCCTCCAGTCTTCATATAACAGGCCTCATACCCATCTCCATATTTAAACTGCTGATAAATGCTTTGCATTTGGTTTAATTTCCCTCCCCAACATATCTTGTATACGTGCTGCATGAATGCTGTCACTTTAAATACCAGGTGTTTCAAAGTCAAATGCCTACCATAAAAAAGACATTTGAAAATACTGTGCCATTTAGAGTTTTAAGTCATGGTTTCCCACCCCCCTCCCTAGCACACACACATACACACACACATAAAAACATCTTAGTAGCACAGTATTAGCCTATCAGGTTTTGGTCCTACATTCTTACTATATTCCAAGGTTTTATAAAGACAGTTATCTTCATCTCCTCAGCCAATATGAGCTACATGGGGAAAAGATCTTAATTCTTCCTTCTTTTATTTCTTCCTTATTTCTATTTTGTTTAAAAAGAAAATAAAGCTTTCTATTTAACTTGAATTTATTACTGAGACAGGTTTATAACTAGTCATTAGCACAGGTAGAGTGGTAGGTGCCTGACTAAAACCACAATTACATAGCAATTCTTTGTATGCACATTTGAATCCTACAGAATACCCTGAATTGACCCACATTCCATTAGTTTCATTCAAATATGGTCATGTCACATTTTTTCCCCTCTATTTCACTAAATTAATGATGTCACACAGAATTATATGCAAGATTTTTTCCCTCTTTTTACTTTCATGTATAAACCAATGAGATTCTGATGTGTGAAACGTGGTAAAGAATTCTATTAAATCAGTAGGCTGGGGAATAGACCCAGTTATTTTGAGATGTGGAAAATAATTTAGAAAAAAAAATTTTTACAGAGTATGCATGTAGTGACTCACAGGTAGCAAATAAATTTAGATATCCAAAGTCTCTGTTTATGATAAATATTTTCAAGAAAGGACTTTCTAGGAAACTTCTTTTATGTAGAAGTGTATCCAGGCACGCCTAATGATGCTCCTCTTTTCTGTCAGTAAAGAGGCTGGGTTTTGTTTCACTACTGCTGTGATACTCAGCACCTTATACACTTCAGCAGGAAGCCTCTTGGCTTTGTCTTACAGGCTATTTGCCAGATCTGGAAGATTCCACATTTCACATGAGCAAGGCAAGGACGGGGATAATGGAACTTAGAAAACCCTTATCAAGACAGCACCCAGACTTTACGTCTTGCTGTATGAACCTGTGTTGTTTAAAACGAGCTAAGCTTCACTCCTTTGTTGTTGTTGTTGCATTTCTTGGTTACAAATCCAGTTCCCTGTGGAAAGCAGGCACAGTTAAAGCAAGGGTTTAGAAGGCAGGCAGGAGCCAGCAGCACAGTAGTGCAGTCATTTTACCCTTATTGTGCAGCACTACTATTTAACAAGTGTTTTGTTCATATAGTAAACTGTTTCCCTTGAGATTTCTTAGAAATTTTCAGAGAATTAGTTATATTTTAGAATGGGTGACACAATATACAACAGATAATTTCCAGTCTACACAGGATACACAGCATGACACTTCATAAATTATATAGTTAGAACACAATTTGAAGACACAGTATTACTTGTTTTTGAAGTTTGATATTAGAAATGTTGTGTCTTCTCCAGTGGCTCAACAGTAAACAATCCGCCTGCCAATGCCAGAGCTGCAGGAGATGCAGTTTCAACCTCTGAGTCAGGAAGATGCCCTGGTAAAGGACATGACAACCTCCTCTAGTATTCTTGCCTGAAGAATCACATGGACAGAGGAGCCTTGGCGGGCTATAATCCATAGGGTCACAAAGAGTCATACAAAGCTGAAGCAACAGTGCACGCACTCACTAGCAATATTGGATGCCCTCCCCCAAGATGAAGTTATTTAAACTGTGTAAAATCTAAAAGAAATTTCATATTAATTGAATGAGATGTTTTCCCCTCAGTGTTTCATCTTACTTTGCTGAAATTACAAAAAATTTACTTTAGCAGCTAAAATTATGATTTTGATATTCAAGTGTGTACTTTAACAAAGGGAGAGAAAAAATGTAAAGATATGTTTCATAAAGTGGCTTAGTGATCCTAGTTAACTATAAATGATGTTTATGTTAATAGGAAAAATAATTGAAAATGTCACAGTCCATTGATTTTTGTTGTGACGTTGCATTAAATGTTTTGCAGTACCAAGAGTTGATACCTTTGATTATCAATAATGTTACTCTGCTAAATTTTGAGCTTACAAATCCAGCAGTTAAAAATAATTATTTTCTCATAGGCATTTATCTAATTCATTATAAATACTTAATTTCATGTGAACTCAAAAACAGTCATTGTCTAGTTATGATTATGCTAGGCAAAATGTTTGCCAAAGCAGATGAATATGATAAGTTGTAGAGTGATGATTAGTTATTCAGGAAAATTTTTCAGCAAGATAGTGGGCAAGTAAGCTGCTTCCTTGATTGCCCAATCCTGGGCTAGATTTACACACTAATTGATACTATCATTATTGGCACAGCTGAGTGTGAACAGAAGATTCACAGTCCTAGTGGCTTCATCACCAGTCCCAACTGGCCAGACAAGTACCCAAGCAGAAAAGAATGCACATGGGAAATCAGTGCCACTCCTGGTCATCGAATCAAATTAGTAAGTGAACACATTATTCTTTTTTTTCTGTTAAGCTGCTTGCTCATGTCTTGCACATGCACAGCTAGTATGTGGAAATAAAGTAATAAAATGAATGTTTATTTAATTGAATTGAGTTAGTAGACAGATGGAAAACTTTCTTATGTTTTCCTACTAACATTGATTAAATTCTTGATTTCCTAATCAAATTGATAGTAATGGTAGCCATGTAGTTCTCATATAGTCTTCTTTTCCTCGATGAGAAGCTTTAAAGGGCATTGCCAAAGTTACTGCAAAACAGTAAGTTTTACTTCCTAATATGTTATTGAAAATAATGTTTCCAAATGGAGATGTAAAAAAAAAAGTCACAAATTCAGGAAGGAAATTTTAAGTATTCACTTCAACTTAGCATAGTAAATTCTATTGTGTCAATTCTATATGTCTTGTATACAAAGCATATGTGTTTTTTAATAGTAAAACTAATTTTGTCTTGTGATTTCTGGAGTATTATTTTTACATAATGTAGCTGTCCTGTTTAGATGAGTACAGATATCATTAGACTTCTTCCAAATTCAAAAATGAATGTAATGTTCATCTTCTCTCTTGTATTCTTTGAGCCTCGTCATCTGATAATACATCTTATATTTCATAATAGGCTACAGAATACTTGAAGAGTATAATTTAAATAAACAGAATCATAGAATATAGAAAATTTGACAATTTTCTGCACTATGCTATTATCAAAAGCAGGAAAGAATGCCAACTAGCAAGGCTCAGGACAATCTAACAAGAACCCTAATAAAGAAAAAGAAATTGTCTTGGGAATGAGGCTACAAGTCCATAGAGCTTAGTGGGCAGATCCAGTCATGAAGTTAATTTTAAAGTTCTGTTTGAACCCTTTCCTTCAGTGAGGTTTTTTTTTTTTCCCCCAATAAAGGTATCTTATTCACATGCAGCATAAGAATAATAATAATATTAGAGACTGTCATCGAGATATTCATATTCCTACTATGGAGTTCTTTCCAATCACCATACTTGTAAAACATCAATAAATGACTTTCTAGACAAAAACATCAGTTAATTTCAGCCACTCTTTGTAATGATACTAGGTGCTAAAATAACAGCACTGTAGGAACTTGATTGCTTTCCAGTCCTGTTCAAGGCCCTGGTTCAGAGGAACACTCTCTGATGCTTATGGACTGAGATACAGAAGCTGCATTGATCAGTGCAATAGCTAAGGGAGTTGAGAAAATGGATTTTCCTGAAGATTTTTTGTGTGTGTTTGTATGTAGATCCAAGTTTTGATTTGTATCATATTTATTTTCCCTGAATAATTTCTTTTTGTATTTTGTATAGAGTATGTCTATGAATTTTCATTTTTTGAAGATATTTTATTTGGGTATAAAATTCTAAGATGGCATGTTAAATATGTATGTTCAGTCACTCAGTTGTACCCAACTCTTATGTGACCCCATGGACCACAGCCTGACAGGCTCCTCTGTTCATGGGATTTCTCAGGCAGGAATACTAGAGTGAGTTGCCATTTCTTTCTCCAGTGGATCTTCCTGACCCATTCTTTACCACTAGCACCATCTGCATGTTAAATTCTGGACTCTTTTATTTACTATTCTTGGTGGTTTTTAATGTCTGTGGTAAATCTCAATTTTATTTCTGTGGTTTTTTTCTCTAATGTCTACCTTCAACATTTTTTTTATCAGCAGTTTGAATGTAGTATATCTAGGAGTGTTGTCTGTCTGTGTAGTAATTTGTCCTTCTGAGAAGTCTCTAAATTTCTCTGTATTGTGATATCTGTCATGAATTTTTGAAAACTCTTGCTCATTATTTCACCATTCTCCTGCTTTATTATTTCTCTCCTTCTGGGATTCATTTACACATATGTGAGATTGTTTCATATTATCCCATAACTCTTGAATTCTGTTATTTTTTGCCATTCTTTTTGAGTTTGAGTAATTTCTAGAGACGAATCTTAAATTTCAGTAATTGTCTATTCAACTGTCTTCAGTCTACTGATGAGTTTGTCAAAGGTATACTTTATCTCTCTTTTTTTAATTTCTAGCATTTCCATTTGATTCATTAGTAGAATTGCAATGGGTGTTGGTCTGCTTAGGTTGCCATAACAAAATATCACAAACTGAATGTCTAAAACAACAAAAATATATTTTCTCGCAGATCTGGAGGCTAGGCTTTCGAGATCAGGGTGCTGTGGGCATTGGCGTCTGCTGGGGCCTCTATTCTTCACTTGCAGATGATTGCTTTATCACTGTGCCCTCACATAGCATTGCATCTGTGTGTATGTGTGTGGAGAGAACAAAAGAGAGACAGAGAAAGAAAGTGGGTGCTGGTGTCTGTCGTCTGCTTATAAGAACATTAGCCCTGTGGGATTAGGCCTCACCCTTATGACCTCATTGGGATTAGGGCTTCAATGCATGAACTTGGCATGGAGGCACAATTCAATTTATAATACCCTCTCTGCTGAAACTTCTCATTTGATAGATTAAACATAGTGGTCATGTTTGAGTCTGTTCTGTTGATTATTTTCTGTCTTAACACTGTGTTTTTTTCTTGCTTTTTTGTGTGTCCTGTGATTTTTGATTAATCATCAGATAATATGTTTTTAGGGGGCTTCCCCGATGGCTCAGCAGGTAAGAATCCACCTGCAATGCAGGAGACACGGGAGACGTGGTTTCCGTTCCTCGGTTGGAAAGATCCCCTGGAGGAGGAATATGGCAACCCACTCCAGTAGTCTTGTCTGGAAAATCCCACAGACAGGAGCCTGGCAGGCTACAGTCCATGGGGTCAGAAAGAGTCAGACATGACTGAGCAGCTAAGTAAGCATTACATACTTAACAATAGAGACTTTATATCTGGAAATGGACACAGCTCAAGGTGTGTTAGGCTGTTAGTGAATATGTGTATATGGGAAGGGATATTGCTGAGTGAATATAGTCAGTAATCAGCTGAGCTTGGGTTTTCTTTATCCTATGATTACCTTCAGTGGACCATTGGCTTTTAATTCCTTTGTTTTAGCTTGGAGGCTGAATTTTCAGACGCATTTTCTCAATATTTCATCTTTAGCTTTAGCATCCTCATTCATGTCTACCACAACTGTATACCTCTTCAGACTATTTTCAGTCAACCAGTGAAAGACTGCAGTTACATGCTTCTTGGTACTTGGTAGTCTGGTGGTGAGAGAAAGGGGTTCTCCACCTCAGACAGGATCTATTTTTAGGTGTTAGAAATATCCTTTCCCAGTGGTCTTGCCTCTTCTCTTCCTGACAGCCAAACTGCATCTCATATCTCTGGCTGATCTTCTGTGGGAGAGTCTTTTTGTTTGTTTTTTACCTCTCCTATGTGTTAGAAAGTCTCTGGTATTATTGGAGTAGGCTCTTGGGTCCAAGACTTCCCCAGTTTTATTTGTTCATGTGTTTTTCACTTTTCTACAGGGAGTCTACATGTTTGCCCTGGTGGTGACAGGTTTTCAACTCCTCCCCCAGAAGCTTATTTCATTTTCCACAGAAGGGTTGCAACAGGACTTCATGCTTTTTTCCCAGAAGTGACCACTTTCCCATCCAAGCCTGAAATAGCAAGGAAGGTACTTGTCTGTCTCCTGCTCTTCCCACATCTTTCTCATGAGCAGGAGATTGAGGTCCATAGGGAAGAGCGTGCACGTGTGTAAAAACTCCTGTGTCTACAGATCTTAGGATATTGCATCCGACTCCACACCTGACCTTTACAGTACATCACAATTGTAGCTAAATGCATCTAACTTACTTAATGGCACCCTAACTGTCTTGTCACCGGTGAGCAGATGCATGTGTCTCATCTTTCCTTGACAGGGCCTGAGAGTGAGTGGACTGATATTATGTTTGACTAGTGACTTTGGCTCTTTGACATGTTCAGCAAAGTTGTGATTTTGTTTACATAGGTTTTTCTGGTAAGGTTGTTGTTGTTCAGTCACTGAGTCATGTCTGACAGTTTTGGCCCCATGGACTGCAGCACACCAGGCTACCCTGTCCTTCACTGTCTCTCGGAGCTTGCTCAAACTCATGTCCATTGAGTTAGTGATGCCATTCAACCATCTCATTCTCTGTCATCCCCTTCTCCTCTTCAGTTCAGTTCAGTTCAGTCGCTCAGTTGTGTCCAACTCTTTGCGACCCCATGAATCGCAGCACACCAGGCCTCCCTGTCCATCACCAAGTCCCAGAGTTTAATCAAACTCATGTCCATCGAGTCGGTGTTGCCATCCAACCATCTCATCCTCTGTTGTCCCCTTCTCCTCCTGCCTCCAATCCCTCCCAGCATCAGGGTCTTTTCCAATGAGTCAATTCTTTGCATGGCATGGCCAAAGTCTTGTAGTTTCAGCTTCAGCATCAGTCCTTCCAATGAACACCCAGGACTGATCTCCTTTAGGATGAACTGGTTGGATCTCCTCGCAGTCCAAGGGACTCTGAAGAGTCTTCTCCAACACCACAGTTCAAAAGCATCAATTTTTTGGCACTCAGCTTTCTTCACAGTTCGAGTCTCACATCCATACATGACCCCTGGAAAAACCATAGCTTTGACCAGATGGACCTTTGTTGGCAAAGTACTGTCTCTGCTTTTTAATATGCTATCTAGGTTGGTCATAACTTTCCTTCCAAGGATTAGCATCTTTTAATTTCATGGCTGCAATCACCATCTGCAGTGATTTTGGAGCCCAAAAAAATAAAGTCTGACACTGTTTCCACTGTTTCCCCATCTATTTCCCATGAAGTGATGGGACCAGATGCCATGATCTTGGTTTTCTGAATGTTGACCTTTAAGCCAACATTTTCACTCTCCTCTTTCATTTTCATCAAGAGGCTTTTTAGTTCCTCTTCACTTTCTGCCATAAGGGTAGTGTCATCTGCATATCTGAGGTTATTGATATTTCTCCCCGCAATCTTGATTCCAGCTCGTGCTTCTTCTAGCCTAGCATTTCTCATGATGTACTCTGCATATAAGTTAAGTAAGCAGAGTGA